ATAATTAATACGTATAAGAACCGACCGAGCCAGTTTTTACAAGATTATTGCAAATTTGTCCCGTAATGGGCGTTCATTAATCCATAAATCATGTTAACTCATTCTTCTTTTTTTTTCTCTTAAGGAAATATATATTCAAAGCTCGAGATTTGTTCGATTCTTAGCCGCATTAACTGTTGCCGTGTGATTCGATACTCGTCGCGCGCAGATATTTTAATTGCTAAATTTATTTTATCTCTCTTACGTCAAATTCTTTGAAATATAATATCGCTAAGCGATAAACAATTTTTCTATTGCTAGTCACAATAATTATACATCAAGAGTAATAATTGACACGCATAATTCAAGAACCGACCAAGCCAGTTTTATAAGAAACATCGCAAAATTACTTTATTACATAAGAGGGGTCATTTAACTATATTATCTTGGGATCGTAAAGTGTTCAATATATCTAGATAATGAGTATATATACACAGGGTGGCTCATGTGTGACAAGCCAATAACTCGAAAAATATGGAAGATACGAGAAAATGTTGTAGACAAAAATTAAATGGTTTCGAGGAGGACGTATTTTGGTCAAGTTGTTTTCTTTTAAGTAAAGAAGCTAAAATAAAAAAGATAAAAAGTTACTTTCTTTTTCTTAAATGGAATTACATAATTTTTGTACACAATATATGATTCCTCTAATTATTCCGCACATAAAAATATGTATTAAAGTAGATATAAAAAAACTAATAACTTACGAGATATTTTTGTAAATATTTTATTTCTAGTACATATTGATAAAATATTAAATATCTAAATTATAAATTTTTTTATTAATCGTACCTTAGTACTTTAATATACAAAATAATTTGAAAAATTGTATTATGTAAAAAAATCATATACAGGTTTATTTAAAGAAGTGAACTTTGTACTTTCTTAGCACCTCCAGCTATAGAAAGAGACAACATGTGATCACAATGCGTCCCGCTCGAAATCGTTCCACTTTTGTCTGAAACATTTTTCCGTATTTTGCGGAGCTATTGGCTTGTCACACTTTAGGCCACCCTGTATAACCGTGGATCTTTCCATTATGCCGTAAATCAATTTCAAAGTTCGTTTGGATTTTTTTTTTTACTTAACCCTGTTAACTGTTGATACGGGGTTGAAGGGTTAATCGCCGGCCGACCAGGATGCGAGTGCCATCGTGAAAAAAAATCCCGTGGAAAATGCTGGACGCGCGCACGCGAAATTTCTACGATGCTGAGTAAGCGAGGAAATTATTTTCTTTTTTTTTCTTTTTTTTTTCTCGCGGAGAGGGAAGCGACATTATTGCGTCGGTTAAGAGCGCGCTCACATGTATTTACTCCTCTCTCGCGCTGCATCTCACGCCTTCCTCCGCTCCTCTCTGTTCGCACGCATTGTACACATACGCACGACACGCGTGTATTATTTCCTCGAACGGCCGAGCCGCGTCGCGCTTTGTGATCACGCACGCAAAAAATCATTAGTAAATCTTCCCGTCGCCGCGCGCGCACTTTACCGAGCGATTCATCCCTCTGACAAAGGGTTATCAGGACACGATGAGAATCGCACCATTTACTGGCTATTTTTTCCCGTGTGGCGAATAAATTCTTAAGTGCATGTCGCGTGTTTCGATTCGTTCAAGATTTTAGAGAACATTCCGTACAGTCCAATAACAGCTGCGAGAGATGCGAAAATAGCCCGGTTTACGTGATTTCTTTTCTGCAGCAGATATAAAAACGGAAAGATCTGCCGTCGATACGTCGGTTCTTGAACAAATTATCTTTTCCCTTTAATTGTACATAAGTCACAAAAGATATTTTTTCAGTAGCGATTATAAAATTGTTCTATCTAAAACAATTTATATTAATTAGCTTTTTATTTAAACCCTGAGATTGATTTTTTCAAACGTTTTTGCAAATTTTTTTCAAAGCTTTAACACTAATTTATTTAGCGACATGCATTATTGACGTGTGAATGTCGTTATGTCAGAAAAAAGACTTCGGTAAAAACGTCTGATTACTTCATATATTGCTTTATGTATACAGCCTTGGCCACAAGTATAAAATACTTCCACAAATTGACGTAAATGTTCTGTGAATTGAAAAAATGTATTAAAATTTATTAAATATTTGTTTGAATAGTATTAATGAAATATTTACTACATAAATGTAAACATATATCTATTTAATTTAAGTAAATTTTCTTTATATTAAATAGATATTTATTACTGCAAATAATATTTCGTTAGTACTATTCAAACAAATATTACAATAATAAAATTCAGTAAGCGAAATAATCAGATGTTTTTATACAAATAAATATTTAATAAGATTCAATAAATTTTTTTCACAGCGAGTATCTAACAAAAAATAAATTAAAAAGTAATTTGATTGAAAAATAATATTTGTACTTATAACAGTTTTAATCTTTTGTTAGTTTTCCTTTGGCTCTCTTTTCTCTCTTTTTATAACCGTCTTTTCTAAGAAAATAAATAAATTGAGGATGCTTTATACTGGCCAAGGTTATATTATTTCAAAAGTTTCTTTCTTAATCTTGCTTTTTCACACGCGCTAATTTTCGTTCTGATCCATTCAAGTAGTGTCCAGAATTAAGTACACCACGCTCGAATTGTAGGAATCGATAAAAATGCGCGATTATAAAAAAAAACTGGAATAAAAAAAAATAGTTCGCAGTAACGGTTGAGGCAAAAAAGGACAAGGGAGGAGATTAGGAAGGACGTGGCACGAGCTAGAGGAACACGATGAGAGATAATCTGATTTTCAGCAACTTTATACGTTGCGCTTCGATTAAAATCCAGCTAGCGTGCAGACTCGATATAGTTATCCCGCTTATGCCCTTTCCCTCTCTTTCTCTCTCTCTCTCTCTCTCTATCGAGTCGAGGGTGGGCGCCCCACGGCGGTTGACCAGATACCACCGGTAGTCAGGCATCTCTCCTCATTTATGGACGCGCTTTAACCCCAGAGTGAGTGAGCGCGCGTCGCTTTACAAACGATGTGGGATGTGTTTCTTAATCCACGTCTTTCGCGCTACTTAAAATCTCTTTAGTGTATGAACTGATCCGCGATCTGTCTCGTCAAATCTTAAAGGTACATTTATCAACTGGAATTTTAGCGAAAGAAGAAATAAAATCGCGATAACTTTCTAATTTCCAGAATTATAAAATGTATCTCTGTGGATATAAATCTCTCTGATAAGCTCATTCAAATTTCTTTCAAATCGAGAAAGAATGAAGACGTTCTGTAAACTCAATAGCGTAATTTAATAGTGATATTTTATGATGCAATTACTATTATTTCTTCAAATAAATATAGAAGAGTGAGATAGAGAGAGAGAGAGAGAGAGAGAGGCGTGCATGAATTAAGATTATAAAACGGGTATTTAATTCAATTGAATCAGGAAATGACATCCGTAGCTTTCCTCGGTGAGACGGCGAAACTATCGCGCGGATATCTTCATCGCGAAATACTGTCGAGAACGACAGAACTTCAACGAGACGTCATTTGTTATCGTTTGATAATAAATACATAAAAGTTTTTACTGCAAATCGCACGCGCCGAGGAGACGCGCAGATCTCTTCTCTCAATGTCCGACGTCGGAGTAGTCGCGGCGGCGGCCGCGGTGGTTGTCTTCGCCAGAGAGGAAAGAACGAGGCAGGGAACAGCGCGAGGGAACGAAATCGAGAAATGGAATGAGAGACACGAGAGAGAAAGGGAGAGAGGGAGGAAGACAAAAGGAGCGAGAAAAGCTAACGCGTACGTAGAGACGTTATTGAAACGCAAATCACGTTGCGCAACCCACCGCGCCGCGGCCCGATCGGAATGTCTTGGCATTAATAAAATATGAAGTATAAAAAGTTATTAAAAGGAGTAACGAGGAATTTAATGTTTATTCATACCCGGACGCGCTCGCGCGCTCGGCAAAAAGACGCGGCGCGGAGAGAGCGGCAAAGGTGGGGGG